CCTTTCCCTTGCCACTCTTCAAACGGCACCATTCGGCACCAAGAATGCGGGAAACGAACAAACACCAATTCGACATTTTTGTGTTGGTATCAACCAGCACGAGGTTGGTTGATCTAAACGCGCCCGGATCATCCTCACGTTGAGAGAACTTAGTCAGTGCTGCGCAACTGTTAGCCTGGTGGCAAGCTGTATATTCGTCACGTTAAGAAGGCATGCATCAGATCCAGCACATTGAGATTAGACTATTTTCCGTCATAGACGATGTTATATTTTAGACTACTACTACTACTACTACTACTACTACTACTACTACTACCGATGATAGTAGTACTACCTGTAGGAATAGGAGTACACCAAGTACTCGTATGTCGCACCAGTCATTGGCCGGTGAGGATGCCGGAGTGTTGGTATTGGAAGATGGGAATACAGACCGACTCACATTCGAGAACACCGTCCAGTACCTACGACCACGACCATGATGGTTATGGCAATTGAAAGCTGGGGACGCTACGCCAGAGCCTCCGTCTGGGTAAGATGCGGAGTATGTTCACCAGGATCCCCACAGTAGTCCAAGAAGCGTGTCCGCAGTACTGCCGTGCCAGGGATCGACTTCCTACAGGGACCTTTCACGCTGAATGACCTAACCCCACACTGTACTTGAGGCCCTTTAAAAACTCCATAACGTCTCTAACGCTCCACCGCACGGTGGTGTGTACTGTGGCATGGTCGAAGACCTCACCTCGAGGCCATAACATATGCAATGACTAAATCAACAACCTGTCTAAGTCAACGATTCGGTCGACCGTCAAGACGATCAATTACGATGACACAACGCAGAGTGATCGGTCGTTGACAGTGGCAGGACTTATCTCGCCACCACCGCTGTACAAAGACGACAGGGAAAGGAACGAGAACAAAAGTTGAATGTTGGCAAAACAGTAGCGCGCGCCCATAAATCCAAAAATAGGTGGTAGGAGTTGTGTCAATGGCCCATCTTCTGTCCAGCAGACGACGTATGATAATAGCAGGGTCACTCATAGTGGCTATAGGTAGTACCGGGGTAGAGTAGTCGTGGACTTACTGTCTTCACTGCTGGTCGTCATCATCATCGAATTATACTCGGTGGTGGGTCTTATGAGTTTTGGCATAGTGAGAAGGGTATGTTAGAGAGACTTTTATGGACGTATGAGTGACGTCTACAGCAGTCAGTTTGATAATTCGCCCGAATTTTCAACAATTTACCCACTTTTTTTCAAAAAAAAATAAACTTTTTACCGACTAGTTTGAAGGAATCACCGAAAATTGCAATAAAATATATGGTCTTTTCGAAAAGAATCAACCTCAACTAACGACATCAGGAGTGAGTTATTGAAAATTTGTGCAAAAGATAAAGTGACGTGGAAATGCTGTAGTGTCGACGTAAGACACTTTGTGAAGGCTCCTCACACCGTCGCCCGTAGAGTACATGTACCGCAGAAAGCCTACTCTGGCCCTGTAGGCATCCTCACAGTCATAGCCTTACTAGAGGTCACCACCAGTGATGGCAGTACTGAAGCGGTGTATTCCCTAGCCAGGGGGACCCGTACGGGTGGTGAAGGGCCCACGGTACCATAAGCAGGCATTCCTCTGGGCACCCCACTCGCCTCAGCTTGCCGCGCCAGCCCTCACAGAGGTGCAATCGCTTCGGGCTAGAGTCTTCGAGCTTGAAGGGGAACTTAGTAGTGGCCACAACGGTAGAGTCCCGGCCTTGGAAGGGGTCAGCGGCACACTGTTCAATGAGGATGTCAAACGCGAGTTTACTGGCTCGACGCTCTTCCATAAGTAGAGACCACACAAGGGGGAAATCAACAACCCTGTTTGTTTCGACAGGTCCCTACCCGACGATACGGCATCGATGGAGGCCACAGGCGGCTCGAAGTGCCGCGGTGGGGAGCCTTGTTGTGAGTTCGTAGTGGCCATAGTCATCGCGCCCTACTCAGGACTGCCCTGCCCTCTATCGGTTGGTCAGTAAACTTATTCCTGGTTAACTCATAATTGAATTCGACTTATCCGAAAATGAGATGCAAGCCTAACAATTAGCTCAACCACCCCTATAGGTTCCAACTGGATCGCCATCACCACAATATCGGATGATATACCCGATGGTGTTCGAGTGGCTGCAGACACTATGTTGACCACAGGGGAATGGTACTTAGCAGCTGCCTAGTTGAGCCCGCCTACCTCCCTACCAGGTGTATGGTAGTGGCTGGGGACAAGAAAGGACCTACACAGCTCTGGTCTGAACTGAGGGAACACGCTGAGGCCTCAAGGGCCGTCTTCCTCAATGATGAGGATCAAGTGACCGTGGGGGGCGACTTTGCAGTGAGACGCTCCTCGTGTTAGCAGTAGTAGGCATGTCCAATGGTATCAGGAGAGGCTACCGTGGAAGCACTTTGGGCGGAAGAATGTGGCTTACCTGTAGAGTATCTTTGTTCACTGAATGATCCGTAGTGGACCTCAAGATACGCCCTCATCCACGGAGCGAAGAAAGTTTTTGATCTAGACGATGATAATATCATATACGCCGATAGCGTACAAGAGATAACCAAGGGCGACTTCATGGGCTACTGTGGGGCCTCAAGAGAAACAACAGGTTGCCCCGGGAAACATACTGTCACTATTTCTGCCACTTCTACCGTGCCTAGTGTCTTCAACCCTTATAGTAATAAAGGCTCCGTCCTATGGACAACACTAGTCCTCAACTAGGTACAGGTATGGTCCCTGGTCTCGACAATGCGGAGACTGTCCTTTGGCCCAGGGGTTACCCACTTAGTTATATCCGTCGGGACCGGGCAACCACCACGGCGAAGCCCTCTAGTACATCAGGTGGTCGCTTAGCCGGTGTGTGGGGATGTTGTACGGTCAGACACTTGGACACGGGAGATAGCCGTGGTCCAGACCCTGGCCGATAACGACCCTGATTTCGATGCGATATACCGCTTAACGCGTACGCCATGGTCTTGGGTGCCTACCTTGAGACGGTGTTAGGGCCTCTGCCGGTGGATTTCCATCAGCTCCAGACATCGGCCTTCCTCCTGGCTCCTCCAACCTTCACGCCTCTCAATGCACAGGCGTGTCTCTTCAAGGCGTACGATGCCCTATGGGGACTCTACCTCCCCGTCACTGTGAGCATCTATCCCTACTCTATCGTACGGTCACACCTCGAGCAGGTCCATGGACGTGTCAGCGACATATGGCGGAGCTTCGTAGGTGACTCACGTTACCGATCCCAAACAGGTTAGCTATCCCACAGGTCCTACAGAGGCTCTTATGGGACCTAGGGGCCTCGGTGGCAGTAGCTGGTCGCACCTGGGTCAGACAGCTTAGGAATTCACACGACTATCTCGCTGACTTCATCGCTGAAGACGATGTGATGATGGTCATCCTCATCGTTGCTATGCAACTGTGGATAGGTGTACAAGAAGGCCGAGGCCATGATGAGGTTTCTGGTCGGATGGACCCCAACTAGTGGTAACCCTTTCCTTGGGTGCAACTGCGCAGTCCTGGGTATCAGATAATTTGCCTGGACGCCTCGAGGAGGTGTATGTAGAACTGTATCGTCGAGGCTTCGTGGGAGAAGAAGAGGTGGACCTGCAGTTGTTCTGCTACTTCATCGTGGCGGCAAAGCTGAAGTTCATCAGGTCCACCATGTGCAGCGATGGATAGAGGCCCTCACTGGCCTTGGGTGAACTGTTGCTGCCGAGGGATGGAGCCCTCGAGCCCTGGTCTAGGTATCGATGGCCAACTGTTGTATCCCCCACTACTAGCTGGGCTGAGACCTCCAATATAGATGGGCCCAAGGTCGCACTCCCTCGAGGGGTACCTGTTGTAGGGGTCCATAATGGTGGGAGCATTCTGATCGGCTTGGTCCAAGGATGGTAGCAGGCACATGTAGACGAACAGTCCGTGTGTGGATAACAGGCATCAACGGCATGATAGGCTCCAACATCGCCAAGGCCCTGGTCGGCCCATGAGTAGTCTTTACGTCAGCTCTGGACACAGGTTAGACTATCTCACTCCGAAGACCCCACGAGGCCTCATTACACTGTGTTCGGGTTGGTGCGGTATCGGGCTAACCTTGGCAATCTTGCTGGCGTGTTGGAAGACGTCCACTTGACCTATGGCGATCTCAGTGATGCCCAGCGTATACGGAGTATCGTCCAAGGTGAGGCTCCTCGGCCCATGAGGGGGGGATGATTCATCCTTAGAGGTCCGGCCGCATCTAGTGTTTCACTTTGCTGCCCAAGGAATCAATGGAGTATCCTTCCAGTCTGAGTCCCTCACCTATCAGTCGAATGTAACCTCGACAAAGCTCTGTCTACCAACAGCAATACGGGTCTCAGGTGGAAGGCACCTCTAATGTGATGCAAGCCCTTCGAGGGAGTGGGGCACGAGTACTGGTGGCAAGCAGTAGCACGGTGTATGGAAGTACATAGTAGCAGGTATATGGTGGAGGGGCTGTAGACTCCGCATAGGTACCTCAGACAGTGTAGACTATATAGGCCGGCCTATTCCCGAGTCGGCACCGATGAGCCCGGTCTCCCCCTATGGTGTTAGCAAGGCGGCCACTGAGATGATGTGCTTACAGCAGTACAAAGCCCATGGTGATGAGGTATCGTCATTGGATGATCATTGGGCTACGCCCAGGCACGCACTGTGTGGCGGTCCGCTTGTTCATTCACGTGTCGCCTGGGGGGACTGAGGCCTTGGCCTTACAGGAGTTCTGTCGTCAAGTTGCGGTGATTGAAGGTGGCAAGCAGGAGCCGGTCATAAGGTTAGTGATAGCAGCCTGAGCTGATGGGGACGGGCGTCCGTCAGGCATGGCGCTCTGAAGACTCGACGAGACACAACAGATGTCCGCGACTCGGCCGAGCAGTTTATCAAAGTACTACTTGTAGCATGTAGATGGCACTTGGTAGATCGGGCGTCTAGGTCTTGGAGAGCTCAGCCCCAGGAGAGGTCTACAATGTGGGGAGCTTCATGGGAGAGGCCACTGGGGAGGATGAGCACAATGGGGTTGGGCAATTTGGCCATGGCTCGTCGTACCCTCCCCACTAGGTATTGTCAACTGAAGACCTCCTTAGTTTGGTGTTGGAGGAGTCCCCCATGGGGTCTCGGATCGAGCTGAGACAGGATGATAGTAGGATGAGGGCCTACGATGAGGCGGTCCTTATTGCTGACAACGCCAAGGTAGGAGAGCACTCGTGGGGATGACGAGGTTGAGGGCCTTGCTAGTTACGCAATCTCACAGGATGGACACCTGCCAATGATATTCGACAAACTGTCAAAGATGTCCTGAATTATTGGCGGAGCGAAGTTGCTCGACGATACCCAGATGCCGCGACTGACCACTGGCGGTCCCCTACGAGGAGTGGCTAGTCAGGTTGGAGACTGTGTTCCATGGATGATCATTGATACCAATTCAGTCAATGGTGTTTCCAACACTCTCTTGTACTGTTCGAGTTGTAGTCGGTCGGTGGCAGGCTCCTGGACACATGAAAGAGTACAAAGCCACCTTGTGCCAATGCATCCAGCACCAGGCCTCGACCAGCCTACTCGTAGTAGATCCTTACAGGCTTCCTCTACCTAGGAGGTTCCAACTACTGTCAGGTCGAGCCTGAGGCTCTCGTTGGTGTGTATGTGGCCCGGGTGGTTGTTAGGTCGGCCGCATGTCGCAGTTGAACTGTTTCCTAATGAGCCTGTTATTGACTGCTCGAAAAGGGCCTACCTTGCGGCCTCTAGGGGCCCGATGCCTAACAGATGGGCCTCTGCCCAGTCATGGTAAGGCAGTATGGATGTTCAAGGACAAGCCCAATACTCTGGCGGATAGGAGGATACGACCTTCGACACTCAAAAACCGGTCTACGAGGAAAAAGTGAGCGGAGACTCTCCCAGGGGCGAGGCAGTGGCATCGATTGAGCGCCCCTCAGTTGGCCCTACTACAGCACGAAGTACTTCTCGAAGACGTATTATCAGACGGACTTTAATAACCCGACACTGGACAAGTCCAATACGAAAGTCCATATTGTATACGAGCCCTTCGCTGGTGAGTTGGATGGGGCCTGTGGCATCGCGTGGTATTGGTCCATGCTAGAAACTGATGTCTACATTACTCTGCGGAATGCCCTTCAACGAGCCTTCCCTGGTATCACTGTAACAGGTGGGGCCTACCCATGGGCTGGTTATTCCTAGCTTTGTGGGCTCAGGAGAAGGCTTCTCGACGGCCTCCGATAAGGGCTGGTTTAAGGTCTATCGCATGAACGACAAGAGGGTTCTATTCTGTGCTCAGCCGCAGTCTTTGACCCCGGACAAAGTGAGCTATTCAACTGACTGGAGAGTACCCTATCAATAATATGCAGGCTAAGGAGATGGGCAGGACCTACGACCGGGACTCCCCTGTCATTGCTGGCTTACAGCCAGGTACCAGTGTGTATGATCAGACGCGGCGTCTATGCCCTTGTTTAGATGACCTGTTGACGGACATGAGGGCCTTCCGGAGGCTTTTGATGGCAGTAGGGGAGTGGTGATGGAAGGCCTGGCTCAGCATGAGGACGTTTCTGGCCCGATGTCGGTGTTGTGTTAAAGGGCTCGGAATTATTATGTTATCAGTAACGTACCACACCATGGATTCATCACAGTCCTCGTCCATACCCTCTCCAGCCTCGGCAGGGTGGTCCTCAGAGCCGAGTGACCGGTCGTCGGTCCTTGACGCTGGGGGGCTGACCAAATGGGCTGAGGACACCAAGCTGGCTCTGAAGGCTTTCAAGGCTCTATCCAGGGACTTCACCCCACCTCTGGACCCCAGCCTGCGAATTGACGATGTTTCCACATCTGTTGATATACAATTCCCATCACGCATGGTGGAGGCAAATCAGATCCTGGACCGGTGTATGGAAGACGGCACGGACCCTCCCACGATGGACGAATTACGGGAAGCCCGAGCACGCAGGGTTGGGCACCTGGCATCGGAGAAACTGAAACATGACTATGGTGGAGGCGAAGTGAGGAAGCCCTTGAGCCACATCGAGGTCCGCAGGGTAGCACCCTTCAAGGCCAACCGTAGTGGTCTACCCTCGGACCACGCCAAGCTGGTGAAGAATGCAGAGGAGGACCTCCTTGGTCGAGAGGATCTCCACAGGATGCCAGATGGCAGTGAAGTGGTCATAACAGTTGACGTCTACCACACTGACCAACGAAACTTCCGTAAAAACGATCACTACGAGTCTTTCGAGGTCCTGGGTAGTCAGACGTTGAAGGAACTTCGACAATCCTTTAGTTTCTCTGCTGACAGAGTGTTTGATGGGCCCAAGTACGCCAAATCAGCCTGCCTCATTATGGGACATACTGTGTACACGGACTCTCCAGAGGAGCCCTCGGCCAGCGACAAGTAGTATATCGATCAAGCGTGAATTCCATAGAGTAGTGCCAGGTTAGTCGACTATGAAGGCTACATCAAGAACTGGCTACGAGTCCACGATGCTAACTTCACCCAGACACAACGAGCAGGTCTTCCCGAGGTCACTTTCGGCGAGATGCGAACGACTACGGTCCAAGAGGCGTAGCAAACAGGTTTCTACTGCTTATATTCTTAGGGTGCTTTGTCAGAGTGGATCGCCTCTATCGGTTGTCCCCGAAGGCCCACTCAATGTGTTGTTTCTACCTGCACTATACCAACGAGGAGGAGCGAATTTACTTCACCAATGCTACCGTTTTGGACAGCCGTGTCCATTCGCTGGTAGTAGATCGTCGCTGCAGTGGTGCAAACTGTGTGCGCTCCCCTCAGCTGAGCTTGAGAGTTCCCTCACTGATTATAGGAGTTGGCATAGAATTCTCATTTTGTCATCAACATATGTGGTTGATTATTCCTACACTGCATCGCTGTTTTCATGGGAATCCTCTGTCGTCGTCATAGGTGCGTGAAGTGTACCCATTGAGGACATTCCAGAAGCAGAAGTTGTATTTGAAGATGTGTTCGGTAAGTCTGCGTTCGGCTGAGTGTCTTTGGCAGTGTTGGAATATATTTTTTGTTCATCGCTTCCCTCGGAACTGGAAGTTTGCATTCGAATTCGGGTAGGATTCTCCGAAAATTCTTCAGAATTTTATTTGTCGCCAACACATGTAATTGACAATATGCATATTCTCCCACGCTGGTATCCTCAGCGTCTGTGTATCTCTTTAGTTGTGCAACAGCGCATTCGCCAACATGGTCGTTCTGAACGACCCCGTACTGCCCAACAACCCCACCTATTGCTGCAAGGCGTGCTACAGAAGACTGCGATCTGATAACACTGGCCATGCTGTCAGGCCGGACCAAACTCGTAGGAAAAAGGCGACCTCGGGGGAGGGAGTTTTCCTATACTTGTGCTCTGTTGCAGATCTGGATACGACGCGGCAGCCGATCATCACGTATAACTATTATCAATAGCAATAAGCGTTTGTTTTTCATGTGCTCTGTTGAGTAGTAGTGTACTATAGCTTCATGGTGTGGGGAGGCCTGTCGGCTTGCTGTGATCTCGGGCTTGTCTGTTGAGGAAACATTCATGCTTATCGCGAGTAGCTAGGCTAGGTTATTCCTTGTGAAGAGGAATGTGGTTGATGGTAGAAGGCATCCCAGTGGTCACGTCTTCCTAGTGTGTCTCGAAGGGCCCTTTGGGGCTCTGCTATACATCCTCGTCAGGGTGCTTCATTGGAGGTTTAGATATTAAATAAGGTATACGATAACCATGAACATTATATCATATGTTAATATCATAAACTAGTATTATATGTTATATAATTATGGGCACTCAGCAAACGTAGTGCAGTCAGCCTTGTCCATAGCAGTTAAGCGTGGGAGAGCATTATCGTCATCAGTTTGCGGCTAAGACCATGGCCGTCCTGTTTCTCTATGAGTAGACCCCCGTTACCTCAGTCTAATACGTCTTATACGACAAACTTCCTTCCCTACATCATACCAGGCCCCGGAGGGCTCCTCCGAACTTTCAGTCGTCGGGAGTCTCGCATGAGTGATGGCAGTGATAGTGGGGTAGACGGCAGTGACCGCGACGAGGACAATGAATTCGGGCTTGTCTCTGGGACTAGCGCGGGGTACGGCAACACATCCCTTGAGGCCTGCCGCCTTGTATGGCCTTGCTTAGGCGCTACCATTCATCATCAGAGCTGCTGTATCGGTCGATGTCGGGCGTTCTGAGCACGGGCCAAGCAACGCCTAGGGGAGGGGCTTACAGTAGGGCTCGGGTCACATGCGTAGAACTGGGTCTTTCACGGAATTCCATCATTTCGCTGCTGTACATGAGTTCAGTTTGACCGCAGCGTTTGTGTATTGCAAGGAGGTTTGTATTACAACGCATAATCATGTACTTAGTTTTTCCGTTTCGGCGACGATCGAAATTACTAGATTCTGGCAGTGGCAGGCTGAGTAGTGGTGATTCTACTGATGATAGACGATCCGTAAGAATCACCTCATTCCCCCTTGGGTGGTTACCATTCCCCTTAGATATCCCCCGATAACCTCGGTGAGCCCCTGCTGCCCACGGTGACTGAGGGAAGGGCGCTAGAAAGCTTCGATAACGACATGGTCGTGCCTCGACGGAGGGCTCATACTCTGGACGAGTACCGTGCTTGGTTGTTTTCTCACCTGTGATGGGTTCCAGGTCGGACCCATACGGGAGGTCGAACGAGCTGTACCCACCGCCTCGAACGAAGGAAGACGCCATTCGTCGTATGCGGAATACGCTCGTGTCTACACTCGTTCATTCATATCGCTGCTTTGTATGGGTGAGTTGAGGCTCGAATCGGATGCCTTCATTTTCTGTCATCTCCTATCGTTAGGCCGTCGTTTGCATGGTCGTCGTCTTAACTGTATCGTATGCAGCGCTCTTCATATGGGCCCTCACGGAAGTCTTCATTATGCGGAAAGTACGAATAGGACGACTTGGAATAATGTTGATAGCATACTCGTGCATTGTCGTGGATGAACTTATTGGTTTTTCGATCAGTCAGACTGCGACCAACCGCTACTGCCATGGGTGGAAGTGTACATGGTCATCACGTTTTTAACAGACGCCTTGCAGAAAGGCCTAGAATGGATTTACTGTCGCATAGCAAGAGGCGGCAGACCCTTACAGGATTCAGGTTGGCGGTCACCAATTACATCTACTCCATTCGTCATTCAGATCCACTTCCGTCTTTGATAGTACTTTTCCGAAGCATCATCTCATTATTTTACCCAATATGGTTCGGGTAGGAGTGCCACTAAGCGGTCGGCAAGCTGAGAGTGCTTTCAGATACGGCCTGCATTTACTATCGCTTACTCGGACGTGTTCGAGAACGGCGCCAAGTCTGTACATCCTGGTGCAGTGTTTTGTATGGGTCGGTCTGCTCGTGTGGTCGGTGGCCCTACTCACACTATTCACTGTACTCAGTTTCCCTTCCTACTTTGTTATTTCTATATGGTAGGTATCCCTCACTCTCTGTCTTGTGAAAGCTGGGTGGATCCAAGGGCCTGGGGCGGCCAAGAAGGGTAGGTTAGTCGTTGTTGCATAGGGCCATGTGAATGGTGAACGATGATGATGGTGGAAGGCAGTGTGGGAAAATATGCACATGGTCAACTGCATGTGTTGGCGATAATATGAAAATTCTGAGAAAATTTCGAGAAATTCTCATAGTTTTCTGCACACTTCTACCCGAATTTGTATGTAAACTTTTAAAATTAGTGAGGAAACTTTTGAGCTCAGCTGAGGAAACCAAACATATATTCCAACACTGGCGGCAGGTATCATAAACCGTATTCGGCTGGTCCCCGCGGGCCCTAATGAGGGTACTTGTGCTATCTGCGCTAAGGACATGAGCTATGATGGTGACGAAGAAGGCTTAACGAGGAGGACTCTCCTTTTGTTTCTAAGCGATCATGATGAGGACTATTCGGCTCCCCCGACTGGCGGGTTTAGCACTAGCAATGTGAGTCAATCTCTGGGGGTGGCAAGATGCCTTGTAGTTGATTTTCAGACCAGAGTCGCGTCAGCAGACCATCAATATGCGGCTTCGGAGTCGCGGTATCCGATGCTGCGAGAGCTCGTCTGTGGTCATCGCTTCCATCGAGCATGTTTGAGTCGGTGGCTGAATACGTCCCACACTTGTCCAATCTGCCATCTCAATTTGCATAGGGCTTATGACATCAATTATGACGTTTGAAGTGATGTCGTCGTGATGTGAAGAAGGAGTGGTATGTTTGTAATTGCTTTGTTTGGCAGACCCCCTCTAGCCTTCTCTTTGTCCTATTGCTCTGTTTAAGAAGAATATCATTACTGCATTCACCAAGTTTCGTGACGATCTCGTTGAGTCTATCCTCGCGTTCAGTCCTACGTTAATACCATCACTACTCTTCTCTCGACTGAGCCTTTTGGTCTTGGGATTGTATAGTTGATACTCGTCAATAGGCGGCGCTTCCCTTCATTTGATGCTCTCTCGGTTGTCTCCTACCACCATAGGAGTGCAGCAGCGATCAGCAGTAGGTTGCTACTCATCTTGGACTTGTCATCCTGTGCCTCATAGGTATTCCTCCTCCTGAGCCGGTCATTCAGTCGAGGGCCCGCTCAGGGTGTGGTGGTCATCCCAAAGGACAGGGACTTCCCGGACCCGCAGGATGAGGCCGGTATGGAGATAGACCCGTGGCACTTTCATTACTTCGGGCCCCTCAGACTTGTTCGAGGCTGGCTTCGTGCCGGCTAGGTTTGCCCGACCGGTGCTGCCTGAACTTAGACGGATTCATAATCTTGAGCCTGATATGATTCCTGAGGTCTGGTTCAGCAGCAGCAACTTCGCTCCGCTCAAAAACATTGATAATTTATCAGGTCTATGAGAAGCTGGCGGACATGGCAAAGGAAGATCCGTCGTCAGTTGAGATGCACTTTGCTGATTGGGAAGCTCTGATGCGGTAGGAAATAGTTTCGAATCGCTTCGCTCCGCCTCGGATTTGTACCCGAGCGAAGGTATACCATCAAGAACCAACACTGCCTCATGCCAGAGCAAGTCGCCTCCATCATTGCGAGCCTTGCGAAAAGCAAGATGCGGAATAAGGAGCTAGTGCAGGCGCTTAATCACAGGGTAGGAGGAGCCGTACTACAGGCACATGCCTAAAGTTGGAGTCTCAGATTCGGCGTACCGTTCATGGGCTTACATCAATAGAGCCGATGACCGAGATGGTCTATGCTTATCAGGAAATGGGCTGGAGAGCTGCTACTACTATAAGGGCTTTTGCTAAGGTAAACTTCCATCTTCTCATTACGGCAGTCGTCAACTCGTTTTCGAATAGCTCACTAGCGGTCCTGTCAGTTCTTATACGGCACTAAAGCCGGCATTCCGATAAGGCAGGGCTTCGGTCCTCATGACCTGACAGGGTTCACTTGCGCCTTCTCGAGGTTGCATATTAAACCGAAAGGATGCAAAGTGAGTTCGATGGTTAAAGTGACGACCGACGTGCAGTGTACAGGTTTTTGAAGTTATGTGGAAGGACTTTGCGACGAGTCAACTGCCGCGGTTGGCGAGACAGATGGACCCCCGACAGTTAGCAGCGACGCTCAACGCCTTCGTGCAGGTGCCTAAGTGCTTCATCTGCTAAGTGGGGTGCTTTGCTGGTCACAGGTTGACTATAGGGCCGATAATGCGTTTGATATTACAGCACGGAAAGCAGCAGCTAAGCTGGGGATATATAATGAAGCGGGGAGTGGGCAGGACCCGCATAATGGTGAGATGAATACAAGTGCCGCTGATCCCGTTTCTGTGGCTTTCACAGTGTTGTTCGGATGTAGGCTTGGGTTCCTCGGTTGAGCTCGGAAGTTTCCCCACTGATCACAGAAGGCTACATTGAAATTCGGGTGAAGAATATACAGAAACCGATGACATTCCCAAATTTCCTCAGAGTTTTTATATTATCACCAATACATGTAGATGATCACGTGCATATTTTCCCATATTGGTTCTTACGACTATCATGTGTCCTCAACAGTAGTGTGTCGTTGATAGTACTACTGTTACAGTAGGCTACTGATGCGTAGTCGTGCCTTATATGTGTTCAGATTGGCGACCGAGGGATGTGGCTCTTCTCATCAACTCCTATCACAAGTTCCGGATACGTCCTTTGCCACTGCTAGCCGCTGTCTCTGACTACACTGTTGCCAATGCAAAGAACTTCTGTCCCCATTCGACCTCTCTGGTACGCCTCCCTAGGGACCCCTTCAGCTCTATGTTTCCTTGGTGTAGGTTGTCAGTGCCTTGTGTCAGCTGGACTATAACGACAGTCGAGTATTCGCTGCACTAGCGCCTCATATTTGTAGGGAAGTTCGATACTACGACGCTCAAGTGAGAGAAAATGCCGTGACTGGGAATCGAACCTGCGTCATGATTCTAGGAGGTAGCGATGGTCGCTCATGCTTATGCGAAGATGGGTTACCGGGAAGAGGTGATCCATAACTCGCTTCGCTCCACCTCGGAACGCGGTCTATCTCAGGTCCTTTTTGAGCGGCTCGGGTCGATGTTCCTCCGTCTGATAGGAGAGGCCGAGGGGAAGGCGTTGAGTATGGTTTGCTACGGGTGAGGCGTCTCTAGAGGGTCCGATCGGCTCAGCTCTTCCCTGCCAGGTTCGCCAGAGCTGATATCAGGCATCCAGCCCTCGTGAAGGCTCTTAATGATGAGATCATCTTCAGAGGCACTGGTAGGGTTATCGTCGTGTCCTTTTTATGAGGAGCTACTTACTCTGTCACAGTCGTGAGGTTCTCTTTGATAGTGACTGAGTGTCCGCTGCAGTATAACCGAATAGATCCATAGCCAGCAATTTCTGATATAGAATTCTGTCTCAATGTCACTAGATTCGGTGGCTATGCTATCAAGCAGTGAACTACATGCATTGCTGAACATCGATGGACCGCCTACTACTACACTTTTCAATCTCAAATTCAACAAATGCAATATCGTATTGGAAAAATGAAATTGGATTTCCGAGCGGTCTACGGAAATCGAACTCTCATTTCGAATTTGCACTTTCATTCCATGAGAAA